TTTTTTTTTTTTTTTTGTTTTGAATGGATGTATATATACATTGTTTAATTAACGATGCAGGGGAGCTGGCAAATTGCCCCAAGTGGTATTTCTGGCCCCTTGTGATACCGTATAAAAAAAGTGTGATAACCCAATGAAGATTTTTTGAAATTTTTTTCAATCTTCAAAATCTGGGTTTATTCATCTTATTTTTAGAACATTATCTTAAATGTGAAAATTAATACTCAAGTTGTATATTTTGCAAAATTCTCATACGAATCAAGGTCTCGCATCATTTTTACGCTTGTCGCGCGTTTTTCACGCTCGAATCACCGACTAAAAAAAAATAGTGTGACCCATGTAGGTATTCGTATGAGAAAACTACAAGATGAACATCGGTGATAGCTATTTATTGTCATTTAACATACATGATTAAATTGGTGTATTATTTTACATTGTCATCTGATAAAACTGATAAGTAATAACGAAACTAGTGTTAACAGAGTTGTAAATGATCGAATTTAAGTTAGGTATGTATTTTAAATGCACATGTAATAAAATATGGTAACTTGTATCCGTAATGTCATAAGTCATAAGTTAGAGATAAATGAAACTAACTATTTATGTTCCTATTTATACTAAAATTCCAATTTTTGGATATCGCAGTAACATAATTATTTTAACTCGATAGTCGATAAGATAAACATTTCATTTTGTACTTATGGTAAATGACAACAAATAACTATCATCAATGTTTACCTTATAGTTATCTCATAAGAATCGATGTATCACACCATTTTTTTTTAGTCAGCGATTCGAGCGTGAAAAACGCGTGACAAGTGTAAAAATGATGTGACACTTTAATTCGTATGAGAATTTTGCAAAAAATACAACTTGAGTGTTAATTTTCACGTTTAAGATAATGTTCTAAAAATAAGATGACCCAGATTTTTAATATTAAAAAAAATGTCAAAAAATCTTCATTGGGTCATCWCACTGAGTACGATCATACTATATATTACTATATCGTCTATATTAGTTACCTCAACCATTTCAGAAACACCCTGTATACCTACCGATAAATATCACCTTAATATTTAATTATTTGTTAGTTCTTACTTTAAGATGATTTGATTTGTTTTAATTGTATCTTCTAAGTTAATTTTCATCAAATCACAATGCTTTTCAACTATAACTTTAATACGTGCATCATCTAATAATATTGGTTTCTCATCTTCTAAATTGTTTTCCGGCTCCATTTTAGTTTTTATGCGATTAGAATTTACGTTAAAAATACCTTCATCAGTTTCTATTGGTTTCCTCTTAAGCAATTTTGTTTCTTTCGAAAATTGATTGAGTGGAAATCGTTTAGTTATCTCTGCCATTTTACTTTTAGTCGCAGAAAAACTACTGGAAGCTACTGATGTTTGTATTATTTTAAAATCTTTTGCTGTAGAATTTCCACTGTCGCTAATCACATCATCTTTTTTAACATTATGTAGTTTTGTAGTTCCTGTGGATTGAAATTTATTGAAATTGTCGATTGCAGATTTCTTATCATCATTGAGAGTATCGATTATCTCGTGGTGTTTATTTAATTGAACTGTTGTTACAATATTATCTTCTTCTTTTTGATCTATTAAAAATTAATATTAATAAATATTTGTCTACAAGAACTCTGACAGATTATGCTATATTCATTCTTGATTTAAATACGTTTAAAAATATTATAATACAGGTATTATACTATTTATACTATTATATCAACTCAAATTGTATTATAGAAATCTGAAATATATTACCGGCCCCTTCATAGTCGCTGATCAAATTATCAGTTTGAATTTCAGATGAAGTACTTTCTGATCGATCAGAAGATTCCGTTAAAGTTAAATCAATTTTTCTTAAATTGTTTTTTCCTGTATTATAATCCAAATTCATTGATGGGTCATCATCATTTGTTTTTTTTATGATTTCACTCAATTCAGATTTTCTGGACAGTTCATCTTTGTTTGGTAATACATTGTATTTGGAAAGTACACTTCGACTAACTAGAGTATAATAATCAAAGCCCAAAATATTATGCTTAAGTTCAAAGTACCTATTTATTACAATTTACAATCGTGAAATAAAGTTTTGTGTGTAAGGTACCTATTGTCACTATAAATTTGAAAAAACATTTTGGGATCTGGGATATACTTATTTTTTTAAACAGTGTCTACGATAACGCAATATCTTTGCGTACAACTTTCCAATCGGAAAATTTAACAAAGGTTTTTTCCATCAACATAAACTATGTTTTTTGATAAATATTTTTGTTTTTAATATGTAGTAGTATACTAGTAGGTACATATATATTATATAGTAGTTGTGTATATGCTCTCTTTTTATGGAAATGATATATTTTAATCATAAATTATAATATTATTTTTTTTTTTTTGTAATTTTTCACGAATTTTAATCGACAAATTAACTTGAATTACTAAGTAGCCGAGAAATATAATTTTAAGTATTGGATATTATTGGAATGCGTAAAACGTGTGAAATAATTGTTGTTTATTTATCAATCGTTTTTTTTTTCTTTGAGTGAGATGAGTCGAAATAAAAACATAGTAAATTTCTTTGCTAATCATTTCAAAAGTGAGAATAATAATGATTGTAGACTTGTAGTTGAGTATAAATTGATACATTCAAGTCAAAGAAAATATAAAATGGATTTTAATTGGCAGCTATAGTTAATTAATAATTAGTAAAATACATTTAATCTAAAATCTTACCTGTATTTCTCTGATCAAAAGTATTAGTTGTTGAAAACTGAGGTAAATTGTGTAAAGTAGAAGATGTATTTGTAAAAGGTGTGTTTAACCTGGTATATTAATTAGGTAAAAGTATTATATTTAAATAATGTTATCACTACAGAATTAATTTTTACTTACTTTATTGGTCCTAAAAACTTCATATTGTCTTCGGAATGATCAAAATCTAATGATTCTTCAATAGGAGTTTTAAAGCGAACGGTTCGTTTTTCAGCAATCATCTTTTTTTCATAGTTACTCTTAGTAATATCAAAAGATAAATTTAATCATTGATTCAATAATATTATATTTTAATATGTTTTATTTCAGATTTAATAAATTATAAAGTGGTAAGATAAATTTAAATTGTGGTAGAAACTTTATCAAAATAATAATCATATAGCATTAGTTTTTAAATACACTTGGTAATATTATTTTATAATTGTTGAAATATTAAATTATAACCCTGTAGATTATATAATATATACAATAAGTAGTATTGWCATACTGTAGATTAGCTATATAGTTATAGAGCGAAAATTTAGAGATGACATATTTTTACTATTGTGTGTATGTGGCATTTAAAAATATTAGCTGTAGTATGTTTATGAATACAGTTTTTATGGCGGTCGAGATATGCGATCCATTGCAGATACACGTTTATGAGTGCATTATATAATTATTATATAATATTATTATTAATAATAATAATATAACTCACTGTATTCAATTATAGTTTATTAATTTAACTTAAAACTTGTATGGATTACTATTTACTGAATTTAATCTATTTCAGTTAACAATTAGTTATAATTATTAAATTATAACTTCTTAAATGTGTAATCTGTTTACATAAACATACTATTGTCGTACATGCGAAAATGTTATTCGAACCGGAGTGGAGAAGACGTATACATCCTACTCTTGTCTTCAGATATCTAGGTGGGTTATCAGGAATTTGTGTAAACTTTATTATTTTAAAAACTTACATGTTTTGTATGGTTGTACATAGTTGTGTCGACTAAATTTTCTTCGTCTAGAATTATGTTCAATGATATGTCTTGACCTATACATTTTAATAACATTCAAATAGTTACTGTATCTACTCAATAATAATAAWAATAAGTACTTAGGTTATAAGTTATAAATTTATAATATAGTTTATAATAATCAGAAGATTAATTAAAATCTGATATTTTTATTCCGCTATTATTAACTAAAATTTCAATAAAAAAATATAGGGATATTGTATTTTGATTTACCAGTTGACGAATCTTCTGAACGAGTTTTTTCGACTATCTGTCTGTAATATTCATCTAAAGGATGTTCCCATTGAGATATTTTACTTTGTTCATTGTAGTAAAAATACTTATTTTCTTTTTCGATAAAACTAAGAAATAATAACACAATAATCTTAAATAAATCTTAATAATATTATTAATAATTGAAAATTTTATTTTAGATAATATGTATAATATATAAATACTATTTTTTTTTTAAATACCAAGGATACCAATCGGAAGGCAGTGGTTCAAGTAAACTTTGCTTAGCAATACTCAAAAGATGTATCTCTTTGACTATGTCTATTCCTAATCGTAATGCTTGTTCTTCAATTTCTAAAAATAAGTGAAAAATTAGATACCATACGTTTCCACTAATAAAATATAATATACAAGTACACTGCAGTAACATGGTGAAATTGACCTTTTAATGAGATTGTAACTGATTAATATTAATTTATATTCTTAAAATATAAAAAGGTCATTAAATTGATACTTTTCGAATTTTCATTCAAATTTGAGAACATGTAATTGTATTTATGATTTTACATGATTATATAATGACAATAAAACTAACAAAACTACGTAACTTTTAAACTAGGTAATATAATGTCTAGTATCCATGAAACTCTTATTATTTATGCTTAATCACGATAAAAACATCGAATAACAAAATAGTTTTTTGAAATTATGATTGAAATAATAACTATCTACTATGTAAGTTTTGAAAAAAAAAAACAATTGTTTTTCAGTTTTTTTGTTATTAAAGTTATTACTTAAAAAGTAAGYAGGTGTGATTGTCAAAATATGTTGATCCATAATTTTTAACGTAAGAAAACAAATTGTTTAAGAAAAAAACGATTAAATATTTTTTTGAAATTGTTATTTAGGATAATATATTAATTGAATAGTACTATTATAGTCGTTTGGAAAACAATTATTTTCCTGTTTTTTTTTTTTTATAATTGTCTAAAAAAACAAGAAAGAACATTTTGTCGATAGCTTCCAAATTCAGAGCAATTTTGAAAAAAAAAATCGATAAACTACCAAGTATATGTATACATGGACGCCCATAGGTAACATTAAGGGGGGGTGAACCTCTGACTAGGGTAGGTTAAATTTGAATGCAATGATAGGTATCATTGAATACGAAAAACGATTCTGAACGGAGAYGGTTTATCTGTCTAGGATATATTATAGATGATTAAAAATTTTCAAATCTTAGATTTAAAAAGAAAATTTTTTATGAAATTCTAGCTTAATTTGCGAATTTTCGTGATTTTTACGTATGTTATTACTTATTAAAATTAAAATTAAAATGCTTGTAAAAAAAAATGTGAATATGCATTTCATTTATTTTTCAACTGCTATTGTAAAAATATGTTAGGAGCCTTGTATTAAATTTTCAAATCTTAGATMTAAAAGGAAAATATTTTATGAATTTCTAGTTTAAAATAATTTGAACATTGCCGTAATGTTTACGTATTAAGTCAATATTTGAACTTCAAATGCTAATAAAAAAAATCCGTGCCTATGTATTCTTATAATTGTTTAGTCACTTTAAGAATAACTTATGCGGAACTTTGTATTAAATTTTCAAGTATTTTGATCGGGCCAAAACAATTGTATCGACACTTCAGTTGTCTCTAAATATCTCAAAAAAAGTCAAAATATTTTGAAAATTAAATCATGTAAAGAAAATGTCAATTTAAATAACTGGTAAAATGTTCAAGTATCTACGACTTATACTTTTTGAATGATAAAAAATGTTTAAATCGTTTGAGGATAAATCGTTATCGTTACGCTATTTCGTAAAAATTTAAAATTCAAACGCACTTAAAATTTTTCCTATAATGACGCTTCGAGACTCGAGTTTTCTCTATAGCTACTTGAAGGAAAACTTAATGTTGTATTTTTAATCCTTAGTTATAAACACAAAATTTTTTATGATTTTTCAACTTTAAAATTACTTG